AATTAGACGGAGCGGTGTTTATGGCGGATTTTGAAATTTGATTGCGTAGTGCTATAAAAAAAACATTTGAACATTCTAAGCTATTCGGGTGCTGGTTTCACTATTGTCAAGCAGTACGAAGAAATATTGCTACAAAACACAAGAATCTGGCGGAATTTATTAGGCAAAACCGAAAAGCATCTATATCTTACCACAAAATATTGTCACTCCCATTATTACCGGAGACACACATTGTTAATTGCTTTTCCATCAACAAAGAAGAAATTGCCACTTTCGACCACTTGTTTAAATTTGAATCTTTTTTAAAATACTTTGAAGAGCAATGGCTAAAAAAGTAAGTTGTTTTACATTAAATTGTTTTTAAAAATTATAAATATTCGAAATATTATAGATTGGTCCAAGAAATCTTTCGGTCTTTGGAAATAAGACCCGTACAACATCAGCTGTAGAATCGTATAATGCTGTGCTTGCCAAAATAATCCCAAAACAAGGGAATTTTTTCAAATTTGTGGGGCAGTTACAAATGGAGGAGTATCGCAAAAGTAGGGAATTAGAATTGGTTATCAACAGCGGTGGTGCCTTAGGGAAACCAAAAAGAAAAACAAAGGAAAACGTTATGAGAGCAAATCTAATTGCTAAAGCGGAGACGGACCTGCTTAATGGACTCATAACCGCTACGAATTTCTTGGATAGAATGGTCTTCTCTAGAAACAAAATAGTAACTGATATGGAGCCCTTTGAAGATATATTCGAAGATTTAGAATACATGGAAGAAGAATCTGAAGTCGAAGAAGAATCCAATGCCACGGAAGAAGGTGCAGCAAATCCTCCACTGATATGCATAATTTGTTTGGAAAACAAACCTAATATTTTGCTTTTGCCATGCAAACATTTAAAATTGTGCAGTGACTGCACATCTAAAATAGAAGCACAGAGTGTGGCAAACAATTTTAATAAATTTAAATGCCCTTTTTGTCGTCAAGATGTTGACGAACATTTACATATTTTTATTTAATTATTTTCTTTTTCTCACATTTTCATATTTTCATTTAATTCTTTACCTTTTTCTTTTTAAATATCACATACATATGTATAATTGAATTTTTGTTAAAATTTTGATTTAAAAACTTGAAGTTTAAAGCAAGCAAAATAAATTAAAAATGAAGTAAAGTGGGGCTAAAGTCATTTTCGTGGGGATTAATTCCTTTTTTTT